ACACACACACACACACACACACACACACACACACACACACACACACACACACACACAACCAAAGGACTCGGCTTCCACCCCACCTGCAGGGCTGGGGAATTTCTAAGGCTTTCAGATGTAGAACTGAGTGAACGCATCTTCAAAGACCTCAGGGACTCTCTCTTAGTCATCTCTCAACCCCAGGGGTCTTTCCCTTTAGGCTAGCTCTTTCATCCATACCTGAAAATCCCAGACTTACAGAGCAAGAATGGGCCTCAGGGATGATCTCAAACCATCCTCTCCCTTTAAAGATGAGGAAACTGAGGCTCTGTGCTCTCGGTTCCCTTACTTCCCGTGTGACTTGCTCCCAAATTACTCAGCTGGTAAAAGGCAGGACCAGGCGTCAGGAGTTTCTGGAATTGGAGTGTGGCTGTTTATTTCCTTTGGCCCCCTTACTCTCAGCTGCCTGTCAGACTTACCCCTACCATCATAACCTTTTCATCCCCAGGTTTCCGAGAGAGCGCTTTTTCCTTCTCCATGCTGGCTGCTGGGGTCATGCATGCGGTAGCCACGGCCTGCAGCCTGGGCAAGCTGGTGAGCTGCAGCTGCGGCTGGAAGGGCAGTGGCGAGCAGGATCGGCTGAGGGCCAAACTGCTGCAGCTGCAGGCACTGTCCCGGGGCAAGAGTTTTCCCCACTCCCTGCCCAGCCCGGGCCCTGGCTCAGGCCCCAGCCCTGGCCCCCAGGACACATGGGAATGGGGTGGCTGTAACCATGACATGGACTTTGGAGAGAAGTTCTCTCGGGATTTCTTGGATTCCAGGGAAGCTCCCCGGGACATCCAGGCACGAATGCGAATCCACAACAACAGGGTGGGGCGTCAGGTATGTGTGTGCAACTTGCCCTCCGTCTCCCGAGCTTTCGAGGCCTGGCTAGATCTTGGGAGGCACAGCATAGTAAGAGGATGTGGTGGGTGATTGTCACTCACCAGCTGGGTGGCCTCAGTTTTGCATCTGTAAAAAGAGTCTCATGATACCTACCTTACAGTGTCATTAAGACTGAGCTAGCGCATAGAGCACCCAGAATAGTGCCTAGTCCTTGACAGGTGCTCATTACATGGTAGCTATTATTATAGCTGTCTTCCCTACAGAATTTAGGGGTGCGAGACTCCCTGGTTTAGCAGTGCTCACTCTGGAAAGAGCACTGGACTGGGAGTCAGGACAACTGGAGCTGAGTCCTGTTGCCAGCTAGTTATTGAAGATGGTCAAATTACACTCTGCTCCGGCTTCAGTTCTGCAACCATAACATGAGGGAGATGGGCTATTAGCCAGCCTCGAAGTGCCCTTTCTCTTCTGATATTTCCTTGTCATTCTTGCCTCTATTTGTCCGTCTGTGCCCTCTGTTCCCTCCCCTCTCCTGTGCCTTTGTGCTCTGTCCATTTGCTGCCCTCCCCTTTCACCTCTTCCCTGCTGATGCTCTAGGTGGTGACTGAAAACCTGAAGCGGAAATGCAAGTGTCATGGCACATCAGGCAGCTGCCAGTTCAAGACGTGCTGGAGGTCAGCCCCAGAGTTCCGGGTGGTAGGGGCGGCCTTGAGGGAGCGGCTGGGCCGGGCCATCTTCATTGATACTCACAACCGCAACTCTGGAGCCTTCCAACCCCGCCTTCGTCCCCGTCGCCTCTCAGGAGAACTGGTCTACTTTGAGAAGTCTCCTGACTTCTGCGAGCGAGACCCCACCATGGGCTCCCCAGGCACGCGGGGCCGGGCCTGCAACAAGACCAGCCGCCTGCTGGATGGCTGTGGCAGCCTGTGCTGTGGCCGCGGCCACAACGTGCTCCGGCAGACACGAGTTGAGCGCTGTCATTGCCGCTTCCACTGGTGCTGCTACGTGCTATGCGATGAGTGCAAGGTCACAGAATGGGTCAACGTGTGTAAGTGAGGGTCAGCCTCACTGAGGGGCTGGGGAAGGGGAAGGGCACCCTTGCAGCCTTTTGCTCTGATTTCTGTCCAGGGTCAATCTTGGCCCCTGGAAGCTCAAAGTATCTACCTAGAAACAGCTTTGGGGGTGGTAGGGGTCAGGTGGAGTCTGTGATGTGTGGCCTTCTCCCCCACAGTAGGAGGGCCTTGAGGGGGAGCTGTCACCCTCTTCTGCTCCTCGAACATCCGAATGGACTAAGATGAGATGAACTGTATTGCCCCCCTCTACCCAACCTGGGGTCCCTTTAACTCTCATTCACACTCCTTTTGGCTGGGGAGTCCCTATAGTTTGACCACTCTTTTCTCTTGAGGGATAGCCCTAGGCATTGTGTGGGGCCATAAGACCTGTATCCAGGAGACCACTCACTCCTATTTGCTTGTTCCCAAACTCCTTTACTGCAGCCTGGGCCCCCTCTTAGCGAGTAATGGGAGATGGTTGTACAGAGGTTTTTCTTAGGGAAGGGACAGAGCACAGGGCACTCAAAAACCCTGAAAGTTGTCTGTCTAGGCCCTTAGGGAAGCTGTCTCCCCAATTCAGATGTTAAAGGGAACCCTCCAAAGGAAGACTTTTACCTAAGATTCTCTGAGCCTCTTCTTCTTTCTTCAGCAGTGGGGGTGGGAATGGATAATTTATTGTACCGAGACTTGTTCTTGGTTCTTGTTTGTAACAAAAATAAATTAAGTTACTGGACCAGTGAATACAGATGGTGATATTTCTACCCACACTTGGGATCCCAGTCCTGGATTCTTTGCCGGGTGATTTCTCCTACCCTCCCACACTCAGTGACTTTTTGTATATCATGCCTGGTTCCACAAAGGATTTCAGATGGTCTGCAGGTGACCTGGCGACTTTTAGTGTGGAAAAACCTGGGCGGGGCGGGGGGACTTCTAGGTGTGAGGGACTAGAGATGTAAACATAGGCCCTATTTACGTTCTTTGTGCCTCAACTCCAAATTTTGCCTTGGTCACTGCCCTAAAACAGGGGTTGGCTTTTTTTTTTTTCCCCCTGTAAAGGGCTTGATGGTAGATACATTAGGCTTTCGGACTTCGTCGAAACTACTCAACTCTGTCATAATTACTCAAAAGCAGCCATAGACCATACATAAGCAAATGGGCATGGCTATGTCCAATAAAACTTAATTCACAGAAATGGACTGCGGGACCAGATTTGGTCCTCTGGCTGTGGTTTTTGACCCCTACCCTACACACCATGAGGTCACCTCCTTTCTGGGGTTTTCAAGTCCTGAAGATGTCCCGACATTGAACCTGGACCCAAAAGGGCAGGTTCTTTTCTCTCTGGCTCCAAATCAAAGAACTTGGAGATAGATGCAAGACTAATGGGAAACATATATAAAGGATTCCTACGCTCAAAATTGGAGTTTTTTACTTTGGAAACCAGAAAAACCAGCATGCTCTCCCACTGAATTATTTGCCTATGTAGTCTGTCTTTCCTTATTCAGAGCTCTTCTGCATTTAATCTCAATAAAACAATGCCTTTATCTTTTAGGAGATAACCATAACTAGAGAAAACAGAATTTCTTTTATTTCAATCCTGATTTCTTTCTATTCCTAGCCCAGTATCATTGAAAATAAACAATTAGGGCTTACCTGGTGGCGCAGTGGTTGAGAATCCGCCTGCCAATGCAGGGGACACGGGTTCGATCCCTGGTCCGGGAAGATCCCACGTGCCGCGGAGCAACTAAGCCCGTGTGCCACAGCTACTGAGCCTGCGCTATAGAGCCCGCGAGCCACAACTACTGAGGCTGTGTGCCACAACTACTGAAGCCTGTGCGCCTAGAGCCTGTGCTCCGCTCCGCAACAAGAGAAGCCACCACGATGAGAAGCCCGCACACCACAACGAAGACCCAACGCTCCCCGCCGCAACTAGAGAAAGCCCGTGCACAGCAACGAAGACCCAACGTAGCCCAAAATTTAAAAAATATATATATATATATATATACAATAAATAATTTATTAAAAAAAGAAAAGAAACAATTATTTTCAATTCAGAAAAGGAATCTGCATCACAAATTTAGAACTTTACAAATAACTGAATATTTATGGAGTTGCAAGATGCTGACTCTATCAGGTCATCTCCTTGGCTAGGGGATATAGAAATAGTCCTTTTCGCTCCTCTAGGCAATAGCTCTATCTGCTACCCAAATTACCCTCAAAATCAGGTGAAATGACGGTAGCATCAGGGTAGCAAGAACCGCAAGGGGTGTTGGTTTAGGGCAGTAGTTTATGGCAAAACTTTATGTCCTGAATTTCTGCTTGTGCACTGAGAATTCTTGATTTGGAAATTTGATGGAGGTAGGCTTTAGGCACTGACTGAGCCTAACGTATATATGGGATAGTTGGGGAGAGAGGGATGCAGCTAGAATACACACAGGATATGAGAGAGAATAATGATAAGGAATATCCAGAATGGGAATTTCTCACACTCAGGAAGAGGGAGGAGAAGGTCCAATGAAATCACAGCAGGAGTATTTCAGTTTTCCCCCTATTTCCTTCCTCTGTGCTCTCTTTGGCTCCCTTTCTCTTTCTAGCATTCTCTCTTCTTTCGTCAGACACACTCTGTGGCAAACTTAAGCCCCAAACCACAACCTTGAGAAATTCCAAATAGATTTTGTCAGCAAGGCCAACACCCCCCTCCCCACCCCTGCTCCCGGCACACGCTCTGGGCTCAGGCCCAGGCCTGGGGTCAGTGACGGGAGGGGGAGTGTGCAACCCACAGAGCGGGTGGCTAAAATTTCAGCTTTAGTTAGCGCCAATGGCAGCCAGAGGGAGGGAGAAAGACTGATGAACTGTAAGTCAGGCCTCTTGGCCTCCTTCAGCTCTGGACAGAGCTCTTCTTCCCTTAGCTTTTCAAGTGGCTGGGGAGCTGGGGAGTGGCACTGGCTGGCTTATTGCCAGCTGAGCAGCACCCCTCCTGTCTGTGCTCCTCTTTGCTCCATGGGAAGTGCCCAGTAATGCTGCAACAGACACTTTCCTCTCCAGACTCCAGACGGTGAAGGATAGAAGGGCTGGGAGATTCTCCAGTTCCATTCAACAGTTCTGACTCAAATATCATGGTACTTGCTGCTAACCATACTAGACTGTCACCATTTCCATCCTTCTGTCACACCTGGGCCCAACCTTGAGAGGATCTGAAGACTTCGGCAGGAACATTGACAGGTGTCACCTCCTGTCAGAGTCCCACAAGGCATGTTGGTATGGTTGAGGCACTAGCAAGGGCAGTTGCAAAGCATAATTTTGGTGATCAGTGTGTGGGCATAACCTGGTGGGGTGTGCCTAGAAAATTCTAGGAAAAGAGAAGAGTAATCATGTGGAGGTATCACAGGGCCCACTCTAGGAGTCTGTAATAACACTAGAGGAGTCTTCTGCCATTTAAAACAGAGAGCTTAGGAGGGCAAAGGCCCTTAATGGCAATAGCCCAGGATGGATACAACTCTCTGTGTTATAAACATGATCCTTGTTATCCATCTCACCCTTCACCACCTTTTCTTTTCTTTTATTGGAGTACAGTTGATTTACACTGTTGTGTTAGTTTCAAGTGTACAGCAAAGTGATTCAGTTATATGTATACATATATTCATTCTTTTTCAGATTCTTTTCTCATATAGGTTATCACAGAATATTGAGTAGAGTTCCCTGTGCTGTACATTAAGTCCTTATTGGTTACCTATCTTACATATAGTAGTGTGGGGACTTCCCTGGTGGTGCAGTTGTTAAGAATCCGCCTGCCAAGGCGGGGGACACAGGTTCGATCCCTGGTCCAGAAAGATCCCACGTGCCGCGGAGCAGCTAAGCCCATGCGCCACAACTACTGAGCCTGCGCTCTAGAGCCTGCGAGCCACAACTACCGAGCCCGTGTGCCACAACTACTGAAGCCCGCGCGCCTAGAGCTTGTGCTCTGCAACAAGAGAAGCCACCACAATGAGAAGCACGTGCACCGCAATGAAGAGTAGCCCCCGCTCGCCACAACTAGAGACAGCCCGCTTGCAGCAACGAAGACCCAACACAGCCAAAAATAAATAAATTTATTAAAAAAAAATATAGTATTGTCTGTATGTTAATCCCAAGCTCCTCATTTAACCCTCCTTCCCCTCTCCCCCGCCCCAGACATTTCCCCTTTGGTAACCATAAGTTTGTTTTCAATCATCCTTCACCATCCTTTTTCTGTTTTTAAATAATATCTTAATTTTATTGGAGTATAGTTGATTTACAATGTTGTATTAGTTTCAGGTGTACAGCAAAGTGATTCAGTTATACATATACATATATGCATTCTTTTTTGGATTCTTTTCTCATGTAGGTTATCACTCATCCTTCACCATCTTAAATTAAGGGCCTCTTGACTTCACATTCCAGAGTTGTGTTATTCTTCAGGTTAAAATAAGAGAGAAAACAAACTGGGGGTACTTCCCTGGTGGTCCAGTGGTTAAGACTTTGTCTTCCAATGCAGGGGGTGTGGGTTCCATCCCTGGTTGGGGAGCTAGGATCCCACATGCCTCCAGCCAAAAAACCAAAACAAAAAACAATGTTGTAACAAAGCAATATTGTAACAGAGTCAATACAAGACAATATTGTAACAAAGTCAATAAAGCAATATTGTAACAAAGTCAATAAAGACTTTAAAACAAAAAAACCCCAAACTGAAATAAGAGGAAGGGACTGGTGAATTCATACACCAAGGATTGATAGGGATACAGGGTAGACAGAATGTAGCTATCTACCAGTCTAGTTCTTCTTGGAAGGAGACAAGAAACAAGGTAAAAACAAAAACAAAAACAAATTTAAAAAGCAACAATTTTGGCTCAAGCTTTAGGGAAGAGCCATGTGTTCCCTTGTACAGATGGTCCCAACTTACAATGGTTTGACTTACGATTTTTTTACTTTATGATGGTGCAAAAGTGATCTGCCTCGAGTAGAAACTATAAATTAATTTTGAACTTTGATCTTTTCCCAGGCTATTTGGTATGATGTCCTGTTGTGATGCTAGGCAGTGGCAGCTAGTTGCAGCTCCCAGTCAGCCACGCCATCACAAGGGTAAACAATTGATACACTTACAACCATTCTGTGCCCATACAAGCATTCTGTTTTCCACTTTAAGTACAGTATAGTATTCAATAGATTACATAAGATATTCAACACTTTATTATAAAATAGGCTTTGTGTTAGATTATTTTGCCCAACTGTAGGCTAGTGTAAGTGTTCTGAACATGTTTAAGGCAGGCTAGGCTAAGCTATTATGTTCGGTAGGTTAGGTGCAAACGCATTTTTGACTTAAGATGTTTTAACTTACGATGGGTTTATTGGGATGTAACCCATTGTAAGCTGAGGAGGATCTGTACTGCTGTAAATGAGGAGAAAGGGCACTTCAAGAACCTTTTTCCATTCTTAGCATTACTAGCGCCCTTCTTGTATCACAGCTGTGACTGTTCCAAGGCAGATTTGCATGTCTAGACCAGCTGCAGAAATGAGTGTGAGGAAAGTGGGGGTTGGCAGGAATAGAGAAACACGGGTGCAAAATCCCTCACTTTCCTTGTAATCCTAAAATTCATACTCATCTAGGTATACATCCTCAAACCATACCTCTGAATACTGGTCTTCAACCGTTTGTCTTTCAAGTTCCAACTTCCTAACTGACCCAGTGTCCAGCTGTTTCCTTCAGTCTCTTAAATTCATCACTCTCC